TTTCGACAGAGAAAGATGGTGGAGAGCATGCTATCTTAAAGGGTAAAGTGCAAGTAAGGTGTACAGCTTTTTTGTTCGCATGTAATCGAGCACTGTTCGTAAATGATCAATGTGATTGTCCACGTCTGATCTGCCATGGTCTGCACGGCTACGGACACAGATACCATCGAAATAGCTTTGTGCAAATCCTCGGAGAGGTCGGAACAATTGCGTCACAAGACGATTTAATGTAGCCGGGGCACTATACAGTCCTTGAGGCATGATAAGCCACTCCAAAGCATACCGCTTGGAGTACTAGCCGCTGTGAGCGGAACATCACTCGCTCGCATAAGCAGCTGGTGATAAACATCGACTAAGTGGAGTGCATTGCACAATGTACATCCTACCATGGCGTTCTGAAGAATATCCTTTCTAGGAATAGGCATCTGTGCCGGTACAGTGGCTCCTTTAAGCTTATTGTAAGCATGCACAATACGCCAATTGCCATTCGGATTTATGACACATTATGTAGGTGTCGAGAAAAGACACTTGCTCTCACGCACCATGCCAGCCGCGTGCTTTGCACGAAAGAACTTGTCCATGACTTCACACTAGTCCTTTATTAGGGGCTATTGTAGTGTCACACAGTACTTGGTTCCAGGAACCAGGTCAATTACTTGACGTACGCCTGGATCAGGAGGTAGAGTGGAAGGTGGATTGTGGCATACCGCATAGTGAATCTCGTAAACCTAAGGATAAAACGGGTCTTCAGGATCTTTCAAAATCGATGACCCACTTCGAGCACTCAGCGCTGCCTTCGAATCTTCAAAGACAGCCTCGTCAGGAAGTGAGGACGAGTTCAACTCACAATCGAATCTAATGACCACCACTTTAGATAAGTCACCTGACTTTGAGGTCAGGCCATACTAATCGACAAACATTTATCTAGCTCTAACAGAGTATTAAGTGAGGGTAGAGTCTCAAGACTCACTGACCCATCTACGTCACCAGTCACTCCATTTAATGAGTGTGTATAGCTGCTCGCTAGTATCACTCAGTGATTTAACAGACGCCTTGCGTTGCATAAAAGCAATCTGGTGTCGCTGTCATCTCTGTGATGAGACTTAACGTCTTACAGAGACTAGTACTTTTTCGTTCCCAAGTTTAATATCATCATCATCCGTAACTTGATCTGTACAAGAGCCGGTGTCATTACCGGCACCTAGGACATCAATGTCCATAATATTGACATGACCGTCAGACTTAAGTTGCTAATTACCAGAGTTAATGTCATTACCGACATCTGAATTATACCGCCCCAAATTGACAGAGTGCGTCAACCTTGATTTGCCTAATATCAGGGCCGATGTCATAACTGACATCTGGGACGACACTGTCCCCAAGTTGACGGACGGCGTCAATCTTAATTTTCCAATTTCAGAACCGATATCATTGCCTACATCTGGGACTACACTGTTCCCAGGGTGACGAACGGAGTCAACCTTAATTTGATCTATTTCCGATCCGATGCCATCAACGAAATATAGTGATGAGTCACTTCCAGTGAGATCACCACCCAGTGGGTACTTACGTGCCACTCCGCGCTCATCAAATGGGCACTGCCTTTAAGGACTTGGTATTTCACCAGCAATGACTTGACTGACATTCAGTGTGTCGCAATTACGGCCAATATCACTCGGTAGGTACTTACATGCTACTCCACGCTCACCAGATGGGTTCAACCCATGATGACTTGGCTTTAGGCCAACACAGTATTAAGCTTTCAGCGATTTGTTGTCAGAACGATTATTAATCGATGGAGTACGTGCCGTCTCAATAACAGTCATTGAGCTTGGCTCGTAACTAACGTTACAGACATGGTCCAACTCAATAAGTGCAGCCACACCGATTTCCAACACACTGACTGTCTCAGCCCGTGGCTCGCTCCAATATCGTTTCTGTCCATTAGCAGGGGTGGGTTCATGACTAGCCCAAAGCTCCACTAGGAACGATACGCATTGCGCCTAAGGTCTTTGATCTCGATTCAGTACATGGCTCATGGCGTTCTAGCCAATCCATGCAAAGGATGCAATCATGCCTCTCATCCAAGTTAATGACTAGACAGCGTTCGATACTGTCAAAGTCCGAAAACTTCACGCCTAAGTTCACAGTAGCTTTAGGCACAGTGATTAATGCGCCTGTCGACAAGCGAACAGTGATAGCATCATTCGCTCGCGCTTTTAGCGCCTCAGCATACTGCTGACTACCTTCCAGGAAACAACGTCGTACGTAATTTTCCAAATCCCCGGAATCGATCGATATCGACCATTCCTTATCAAAGCTCTTTGCTGATTCTTTCGCAACTAACAAGCCTGAATTGTACGCATGCTTCGTGAATTTGTGCACGAAGTCACTCAAGGCTAGTCGCTATTGTCCATCACCTCCCAGAGGTACAACAGGGCCTAAATCCTGCCCAGCGGGAAGCTCCATGCCTACTGGGACTCGACATTTTTTCGCGCCTTATCGAATCCTTGGTTAGCGGCGGGAGGCCTGCTCAATCGAGCCCGTATGGTAATTTTCAAAGGACAATTGGCGCGAAGTTGTTTTCTACTTCCGCACGTAAAACATTTACGGATTTTCGAAAGCTGTTCGATAGCGTAAAACTCAGCTTCTTTGTCTCTCTCAGCAAGACTAAGGTCCATGGGTTCTGCCCGATTCATAAGGTGAGCATTGCTCGACGAATTAGGTTGGATTCCATGAGTCCCGTAACGGGCAGCTTTAAAGTGGAATTTTTGCTCGACGCTATGTCCACTGCACCTTCAAATGTCAAGGGTTGTGCACGAAACACTTCTGTTCTGGCAACGCCAGTGCAAATACCCTCCATGAAAATGGTTACCAAAACCGTCTCAGGTAAAGGGTCAAGTTGCATAGCAGCAATGAGAGTTTGCAACTCTTGGACATAATCGACTAAGTCCTTTTAACCCTGGCGGGTTGACGGGAAGCGTAATCGCACGCGGCATGTCTGATTAGGCGGGGCAAACACCCGAGATAGCTGCTGTTTTTTTAGCATGCCCCAGGTGGGAAAAGCCTCTTCTATCGAGGTGACAGAATGGAACGCCCACTCCCTGTCTTGGCCACCTAACTTTGATTGGGCCAGGCTCACCTTCTGTTGCTCTGACACAGCAAGGCCGAACTGATGGCAACCTACATCTCGCTAACACACAAAAAGAGATTTCTCCCTCTTTCCCCTCGAAAGTCTTGACGCTTAAGACTAGAGGACGAGTCCTTGACTCGGTGTCCGGTATCGGAACATACCGAGTGGACATGGCAGATGTCAAATGGTCATGGACCTGTCCGATCAAGGCGGACTCAAAGTTCAAGAAGGCCTCGAGACGTGCACGAAGTGCGTCTGGGCCTTGCGTCATTGTAAGAGCCACTTACTCGTGCCCAATCAACGCTGTGGGCTTCTTAAGCGTGATCTGCTGGGCCTCAGAGAGGTTAATGGCCGTTTTCATCTTTGCAGAGGACTCAGTCAGTGAAGGCTAAGGTGCGACTTTTCTACAAGTGATACCAAGCGGAGTGGATCTACTTAGCACTACTTAGCAGAGGAAGTCTTAGACTCAAAGAATCTCTTAGTTTAAAAACTAACAACAACGACGTACAGTCGTTCAAGCGTACAAGCTTAACTATCCCGGTTCCAAAGGGACTACGATTCTCAAAATCACACTAACTAGTCACTTCTAGTTGAACAAGAGCAAGCGCCAACACAAGGTTAACACTCTTACAACACGCTATGCCTTAACTGTACACTAGCTTCCAACGATTCAAAAGGGAAACTGAACTTTATTCTTTAACTACGATAATAAAACCCTAAAACCTTGTCTGACTGACTTTTACATTGCGATCCTATGACAGAAATCTGATCCCTTATCCTTACCCAATAAAATGTGGTATTACCGTAAGTACGTAGTACCAGGACTGTACAACTCATCTCCACCGACCTTGACTTGGTGTGGAAACACAACATAACTGATTTAATAACCGCGTGTAACCCCGTTACAATAAGGCCAAGACGGTCTCGTGCGGCTCCGAGCGGCTTAGGGCTAGCAGAGAAGCAGCATTAACTGGTCAAACTGTACAAGAAGATGACAGAGGTGAAGATGGTTGTTAATAACAGGAGGCATCGAATCTCAAGAAGGTAACGCCGATGATGTGGACGAAAATTTGTGCCATACACGATCTAATATGAATATATAATGTTTGCTTCTCAAGTAGCCGGATAGTAATGTGTTACATTTTGTGCTGTCCGAATTAAAAAGAGATGATGATTACATATGGCCAAGAGCCCAACTTTGAGCTGCAGATAGCAGATCCTCACGGCTATCATATTCGTTCTCCGGAGGAGGAATCGTGCTCTGTGTATTCATTCCGTCAGTGATCTCAGAAAGTTGTCGTACAGTTTAGTTATTATGTAGTATTATTATGTAGACGTGATATTTATTTCTGCAAAAACGGAATTAAATTCATATATTGTATTGTCCAATCACAGTAAGTTGTTCTAGTGTTAACTTAACGAAAGAAAAGGGGATAATTTAACGACTCCCTTTATCATATGCGGCTGCGAAGTCTGGTCTAAACTTCGAAAAAATATAGGAATCTCCTACTGATTAGATCGATCTAGAATGCTGTAACAAACTTGTCTGACGTTCAGGCCAGATTCTATAGCGTGTCACCTTTTGGAATTATTTCTTCACTCAAATAGTAGCAGCTGTTTACGAATTAGAAACTCCCTTCTAGTTAAATGACTGCTGAGGGAGACTGTAGCTTCGAAGCCCGGACACAATCGAATAGTAAATCACAAACTGCCGCAAGCCGTGTCTCCTTACTATCCTAGTTTTACGTACAACGCAAGCCTATAAACCACGTGCATCACGTTAGGTCTGAGTCCACATATTGTGTATCCCACACCATCGTCTCGGATTGACCGGTACAAAGTCCACGTATCACACTTGTCGTATCGCATGCGGACTGCCTCAGTATCGGCGCCGACGCTGCTGCTGCTACTGCTGAGCCATTGGCCCTCGGCCACGTGCGCGTCCGACACGCACTGCGTCAAGTGGCGTGCGACCTCGAACTGCGACCCTCACGGCCAGCGCGAGCCGCAGCACGACGCCGCGTGTTCCAAGCGCATTCCATCGGATGTCTCGGGCTTCTGCGAGTGCGAGGACCGCCGCCACGTGCGTGAAGTGGAGTGCAACCACTACGAGTTCACGTGTGAAGAAGCGTGTGCAGCGGACTCATCGGCTGATCTCAGCTGTAAGACTATGACCAAGCATGGTTGATCGATCGATCGCGTGGCTGGTGGTGCTCTTAAACTGTTGTGTCCGTGCTCATTAACTGACGTTTTTGTGTGTTTGTATATTTGTGTGTGACACAAACGGACTGATTCTATACTATCAGACCCCCAAGGTTTTGAGCATGTGACATGTGGTAGTTCCATTAAAGTGGTACACGAACCAAGTCGCTACCGTCTACACTCGCACGACATCGCGTACGGTAGCGGCAGTGGCCAGCAGTCAGTCACGACGCACATGGCACGGAACGATGTCAATAGCTACTGGATCGTGAAGGAAGGAGACGGAGCGGCTGTGTGTGAAGCAGGGAAGCCCATTGAGTGTGGGGCTATAATTCGGCTGGAACATTTGCAGACACGACGCAACTTGCACTCGCATACGTTCAAGGCGCCGCTATCATCACAGCATCTTGAAGTCAGTGCTTATGGAGTGGCCGGGGAAGGTGACGGGCTTGACTCGTGGGTTGTCGAGTGTCAAGAGAATCAGCAGTGCTCGGCCGAAGCCCAGTGTGATGACGATGACGGTCTATGGAAACGTGGGGCGCTCGTGCGTCTTCGCCATCAGTCGACGAGCCACTTGCTGCGTACGAGCGTCACCGCGCGCTTTGATGATAGCAATTGTCCGCATTGCCCCATTAATGGCCAGCAAGAAGTTAGTGCGAGCTCCATGCGTGACGACGAAACGTTGTGGTTTGCCGGAGAGGGTATTTACGTGACGGAATGAACAAGACGGCCGGAAGATACGTGGTTGGTGAGAGATAGAAGGTATGCGGGTAGAACATCAAACATTTGAAAACAGCAAACGCGATCATCTTGCCGCACTAATTTACGCCTCGTGTCTATCCTTATCATCATTTCAGTTTACTTATTTACTCGAGCACTTCGAACCCGTCGTCCTCTAAATCAAATTTCGTCGTCGCGTCACACTTCAAGAATGCCTGCGGTACACCCCCTTGGTTCGTAGGCATCTCAAATAAAGCTTTTGTCAGTGCCTTCACCTCCTGCAACAGCTTTCGCACGAATTCGCATCCATTTACAGAATTTATATCACTCGCTGAAGCTCGCGAGCAGCAGGAGATCACGTCATGAGTTCTCAAGGTGCCGTCCAAACGTTCAGCCAGCTCCAGCATGTACGACCTAGAGGCATCCTTGTACCACCGAATAGATTTGCCCTCAAGCTTCATCAGTTCGGTAAGAACTTCACGAAGGAACGTCCCACCGTCTACTTGATCAATCACCGACTGTAAGAATGCCTTAAAGTGCGATGCAGTAGATTCGGGACACACCATGTAGGACTATACAAGTAAGGGAACACAGCGTAAGTCTAGCTTGCAAGGAATCGACCATTTTGCATTGGGTGAAACAATACTCACAGTCGGAAATACGGCCATAAACTTCTCAGCATGCACCAGCCTTTCCGTTTCCAGTTTCTCCACCCGCTTTTTCTCGTCGTGCTTCGATTGCTCCGATTGAATGGACGCTTGGTTGAGATCCTCATTAAATTGCCGCTCCTCAATCTTTGAAATAATCCAGACCATACATGCGTCCAAGTGGTCGCCAATCTCTTTCACGCTAGCTTCAGCATCTTCCTTCCTGAAACCCATGGCAACCAATCGGTCGATGGTAAGGCTGTGCCGAATACGGTCGGTAGGCCCACGACGTCGACCATTTTCTGTACGGCGGCGAGTAGATTTTTTTATCGGTAAATCATCCGAATCATAGTCGGAAGTAATCGCATCGTTATCATATGCGTCCCCTGCACAACCATAGCGATCTCATGTCAACAATATACCTCTGAGTAGAAAATACGAATCACGTACGCACCATCATCGTTCATAGAACTGTCCGACTCGTCCCTTTCCTGCTGCTGCTTTACAGCTCTTTTCTCCTTGCCTGCTCCTCTGTCGTTTTTAATCTCACTTTCCGCTTCTGTTGTTTGTTGTCGTCCACGCTTCATACCAATCTTCGTGGGTGTCGATGTCGGTACTGCTGTGGGCGATGGTGGGGCAGACACAGATGCAACAGTAGTTGTTCTGGTCGTACTTGGCGCGGATATTGTTTTGCCCCCCGCTGATCCAGTGTTAGACCTTGGCTCTGCTATAACCGGCAAAACCGTGTTTCCCCGACCTGACAACACTACCTGTTCGGGGGAAGGCACTGGCACAGGCGCTTTGGTTCCAGGTTGGCTTGCTTTGAGCTTACGTGCCCCTATTGCAGGTGCAAGGCTCATTGCCTGTGCTGGCCTAACTCTCGAGTTCGTTGTACTTACGACGGACGCCGTGGGCACTCGTTTCTTGCTTCCTGTCGTCGCTGTTCTCTGAACAACTGGAGATCGATGCAAGGATGTAGAACATAATGTGGCTGCAGATGACGGAAGCGATGCAGCTGGGGGTATGATCACAGCACCACGAACTGTCGAGGTGAAATTTGGACCAGGTGTGGCGGCAGGCTTTGGTGCTGGAAAAGAGGCGGATGCTGCTGAACCGGAAGTCGTCGCATTGGCAGCTGCTACCAGTGCACTTGATGGAGCTGCGTGTACACCAGAAGACACAAAGCTTTTCGGTAGTGCAGCACTGGTTGACTTGTCACGTTCTGAAGACAGAATGGTAGTAACAGCGCATAACATGAGTTGCCACGGGACGACAAAAGCGAACTGAATAACAAACCTTTGACAGCTGAAGCACTTGCAGTACTACTCGATGCTTTGGTCGGTTCGACAGGGGCTTGCGAGGTTTTACGACACACTGAAAATCCTTCGACAGACAAAGATTTGCTCGATGAGACGCTCTTTGCCGCAGGGTCGACTGTGGTCGCGGTAGCATCCGGCTTCACTGACATCATGTCAGGTTGCGCCAATCTCGGATGGGCTTTTGCACACTGGACTGCTCGAGGCACTGTGTGTTTGTTCAACAAACCTAAGTGACCCACTTCTTCCTGCCTCTTCACGCCAGCGTTCGACGTCGTCATTTTTACAGCGCCACGCTCGACTGAAGTGCTTGCTACACTAGCTGCATCCAAAAAAGCCACTCCGATCCGCGGCTGCAACGCCAATGACCTCGCTTCAGGCATTGCATCAAGTCTCACGGTCGGTCGTTCTCGTGCTGCACGTTTCGGGGCCGCCAGTGCCGATCCGGGGGCTGCAATCGCCCTTCCCGACGAAGATGCTGCAGCGTTAACCGCAACTGATGCTGTCGGTCGTTGTGCAGCACGACCACTCGCTTCCAGCACCTGCTGTCGTCCTCCAAATGCAGTACCGTCCACCTTCTTCGGCGATACTGCACTCTCCGTCACCTCCAGCGTGATTCGTGCCTATAACATTCACATACGCGCACACACACATGTACATGCCAACCACGAGTACCACACCACATCTCAGTCAGTCATGACTCATTCAATCCCGCGATCGCCCTTCTCTCTACACTCAGCAGCAGAGCGTACCTGCCCTACATTACGAAAGCGACTGGCCACCTGTGCAACCGACAGGCCGCCCATTGGCTCCTCATTGATGCGACGCACGACGTAACCTACCGCAAGGTCAGCATCATCCACACAGTATCTGGTTAAGCGTTTTGCACATCTCGGAGCCGCCACCCAACGAGAGCTCTTTCGACGCGCACGCAGGGATCCTAGGCACCACCTGTGCGGACGCCAGCGCGATAAGCGGGCGAGTTCACAAAGACGCTGGAGACCACAGTATACTTGAGACCAAGGCCGCTGGTTTTCTGCGCGAGCGACATGCCGAAACTGCGCTCGCCGTCGCGCAGCGTGAGCATCACGTGGACCTGGCCATGCACCACCGCGCGACTTGCCATCGAGTGCGTCGCTCACGCGATTCTTGTAATGTGTGTGCGACACACCACAAACCTCTTCGACCGCATATGATCGCCTCGTCCCAGCCCGTTCTTGTTGACCGAGCGAATCGACAAGAACGGGCTCGAGTGGGACCCCACGGACCAATCGATTCGTCCCAAAATCTTTGTCCTCGTCCTCGAGCTCAAGGACGCAGCAGAGCTCAGCATGGGCGTCCCGGCCTTCTATCGCTGGGTGCAGGAGAAGTACCCCAAGTGCGTCGTGGACTGTGTCGAGACGCAAGCAGTCGTGCTCGAAAGCGAGCGTCATTTCGAGCTCACGGACACGACTGGCCCGAATCCCAATGGCTTTGAAGTGGACAATTTGTACGTCGACATGAATGGCCTCATCCATCCGTGTGCCCATCCCGAGAACGGAGAAGCGCCCAAGACTGAAGAAGAGATGTACCGTCGTGTCATGGCGTATGTGGATCGTCTAGTAGCTGCTGTGCGGCCACGTCGTGTGCTGTACTTGGCCATTGACGGCGTCGCCCCTCGGGCCAAGATGAATCAACAACGTGCGCGTCGCTTCCGTGCAGCGCAGGAGGCCGAACAGCGCATGGAAGTGGAGAAAGAAGCGCTCGACTACATGCGGGCAATGGGTCACACGGTGCCTGGGAAGCAGGAGAAGCCGTGGGACTCGAACGTGATTACGCCTGGCACGAAGTTCATGGCCAAACTGGCCAAGTACTTGCGGTTCTATATCCGAGACCGAGTGAACAACAACACTGCGTGGAAGAGTATCAAGATCATTTTATCTGATGCTGGAGTGCCTGGCGAAGGCGAGCATAAATTGATGCAGTACGTCCGCGTACAACGCTCTCAGCCTGGATATGATCCGAACCAGCACCACGTACTGCATGGTCTGGATGCTGATCTCATTATGCTGGGTCTTGCAACTCATGAAGTCAAGTTCTCGATCTTGCGGGAAGAAGTGTTGTTTGGAAAGCAAAAGTACGAGCGGGAACGACAGAAGGAGCAGCAGATGGTGCTTGATGCGAATGGAACGACGTTAAGTAAGCGGAAACGTGGTGAGTTTGGAGAGCACAACGCGGACTTAATTGCGTCGGACCTGAAGCCACTGCAGTACCTGCATATTGCGACACTGCGTGAGTACCTTCAAATCGAGTTTGAACCTTTGTCGCGTGTGCTGCCGTTTGAGTATGATTTCGAACGCGTGATCGACGACTTTGTGTTCCTGTGCTTTTTCGTTGGCAACGATTTTTTGCCGCATTTGCCGTCGCTGGATATTCGTGATGGTGCACTAGATTTTTTGATTTTGATCTATGCAAAGCTGTTGCCAGCTATGGGAGGATATCTCACAGACGGTGGCCAGGTGAACCTCTCGCGTGTCGACGTGATCCTTGCTGAGGTTGGTCAAGTGGAAGACGTGGTCTTCCAACGTCGTGCCCTCAAAGAAGCGGAAAACGCAAGGAGACGGAAGTCGTACTTGTCAAATGAAAAGAAAGATCAGATTGCTGCTTCGGCTGCAAAGGACTCGGCTGTGGAGATCCTGAAGAAGCGTCGTATCGGTAAAGACGTGATTGCCCAGGAGAAAAAGTATGGCGGCATGACGCCAGAAGAAGCCGTCAAAGCACGCGTGAAAGAAAGTGTGGAGAAGAAGCTGGAACAGTATCGCGAGGAAGTCCAGGATGTAGTTCGACTGGGTGAACCCGGTTGGAAAACACGATATTACAGCGACAAGCTGAAGGCAGACGATATTGAGGTAGGAGGTGGACGCGAGCGCGTGTTTCATGCCTATATCGAAGGCTTGTGCTGGGTGATGCGCTATTACTACACAGGCTGCGCTTCGTGGCAGTGGTTCTACCCGTTCCATTACGCTCCGTTTGCATCCGATTTGCGCAACATTGATCGTTTTGAGATCAAGTTCGAGGAAGGTCTTCCATTCCATCCCTTTGAGCAGTTGATGGGTGTGTTCCCCGCAGGAAGTAATCACGCTATTCCAAAACCGTATCGGTGGTTGATGTCGGATCCGGAGTCGCCTATCATCGACTTTTATCCAAAGGATATTCCTGTCGACCCAAATGGCAAAGCCATGCCATGGTTATGGGTGGTTCTGCTGCCATTTATCGACGAGAGCCGCTTGCTTGAGGCCATGAAGGAGCCGAACCAGAAGTTGACCGAAGCCGAAAAGAAGCGAAATGCTCAATTCGGTAAAGAAGTAGTCTTTTTTCACTCCAAGTGTCCCATGACCAAAACTCTGCCAGCTTCAGAGGGAGTAGAAGCACAAGCAGACCCCGGCTGTTCCCAGTCGTTTAGCGGTACGCTCGTCTACATTGAAGCGCTCTACTTTGATATCGGCGGAGTTGTGCCAAGCCCCGAGAAGGCCCAGAAACATTTGGTGGATATCCCAAACAATAGGTGTTACAGCTTTCAGTACCGTCTGCCGCACATGTTGTCGCATCTGTCGAAGATCTTGGATGGTGCTCAGTCGCCCAGCCCTGTCCTGATCACGGAAAACGACAAGCGCATCACCATCCCTTTCTTCGGCAAGGCCAACATTAACATTGTCGACTTGGCCGGCGATGCTTCCAATCACACGAATGTGCGTCAGAACTTCACGTCGCGCCAGAATGGCGGTGGTCGTGGTGGAGGTCGCCGCGGAGGCGGTGGTGGAGGTCGTGGCTACGGTAATCAGGGATATCAACACCAAGGAGGCCAGCGCTCTGGGAGCAACAACTTGAACGTAGACCGCTACGGCGGTCCTCCGCAGCAGCAGTACAGCCAATACTTGGCCAACAGTCAGGGTAATTGGGGCTCACAAGAGCCACGGAATAAGCGTGGGCAGTACGGGGACTCCAACCAGCAAAATAGAGGCCAGGCATCATACAGTCGACCAAGCTCTGAGTACCGCAGTGGATACAATGGCGCCAGCAGTGGCGGCCGTGGGTACGAAGGTGGATTTGGTGGCCGAGGAGGACGCGGCGCTCCCGTCCAGTCGGCGTTCGGGGGTTATTTGCAATCTGCGCAAGCGTACCCATCGACGCCGAGTGGACCGGCGTCGTCCGCAGCTTCAGCCCCTCAGAGCCTCGACGCTTTAAAAGCTGGACTTCGCAGCATGCACGAGAAGCGTCAAGGCCATCCAAAGGGTGCGTCGAAAAACGATGCTAGGCGCTATGACCGCTCGTGAGTTCTTTAATCAGCGACCGTTTGGACTGCAGCTTAGTTGTGTAAAGCGCCGTAGCGGACGCTAATCGTTTGGTCATCAATATTTTGTTGCCGTGCTTATTTGCAATTCGCAATTGTGGTATGTACATTTTATCCGGTAGATGATATTTCGACAGTCGGAGGAAATCGAGGTTCATTCTCTTTGCTATTTTATCTAGATCTTCTTTTTCTCTCCATCCAAAAAAGTTATGGATACAATATATTGTATTGGTTGCGGTTGAATCATCACAAGTTCATCTACTTTTTATAAAACGCAATGGAACGGCGGAACAACGCGTTGTGCGACGACATGCTCGAGCCGTTGCCACCGCCACCCGCACCTCGTGCCCCTCCGGACGCCCGTTTCCTCCACTTCGCTCGACATCGGGACATCCACAGTATCCCAAATGAATGCAAAGATGAGCTCCTGATGCCGCTGTCTCTTCCACACGCTCACCCGCTGTCGACAATTAGCTGCGAAGGCACACGAAACATCGGGAGAGAACCGACAAGAGACGGTGCAGCAATTGACAAGAACGAGAACATACTCGATCAACGATCAGGTTTTACCGGTAATAAAGGGTTCGAGCTGCCAGTTTTAAGCCACGAACAGGTGCTGGTGTCAGCGAAAAAGGCCACTGTATCTCAAAAGAGTGACATCCTGGATGCCCCAAAGACAGAGCATTCCAGTAGCCCCGAATCGACTCGTGAGGATGCAATAATGGCATTGAAGCTGCCGCAACAGCAACTGAAGAAGATGGAGGCGGTGCTTGAGACGGTCTCACTAAGCGAAGAGGAAAAGATCATTGCTGCAACGGAAGCTAGTGCGAGACGTCATGACTTATTGGAACTTGCTCGTCTAGCAGCGAGTGAGAGCAAGTGGCCGAGCAAAAGTGGGGAAGGCTGTGATAGTGCATTGGCACGAGCTGGAAAGAGAAGAGTGGGGAAGCAGCTGAGTGCCAAGTGGGTCCAGACGCGACGGGACCCTTCGAATCGTCCCAAGGGGCCACTTGAACGACCAGAAGAGAGGGACCTGCGAGAGACGCTGTTTCGGACTACAGCGCGTAGTTTGCGACGCTCGGGTGTGCTCTTTGACGAAGCTGATGCTGCACGAAACGCTTCGTTTGCACCGATGAGCAGCGCTCAACTTCCTGTGATCTCGAAGGGAATCGTTGGATTAGCAGGATGTTGTTTTGAAAGAAAGGACTGGGCACGAGTAGCGGCTACTTTAGGATAGTGTTTGGTTCTCACACACCATCCTTCGACAGGTTTGAGTGGGTGTAATACCGATCCGGTTGTAGTCTATCTTTTGGATTCATAGGATGGCAGAAATGCTGCCAGCTTGCGAGCGTAATCTTTCTTCTCTTTGGCGGCTAGCACGGCATTGAAAATCAGAGCTAAAAGCACCAGGAAAGCATGTGCGACTTGGACTGGCGACGACCACGCCACAATCTCAACCAGCATTATAACTGTCTCCATCGCTAGTAGCATGCCGACAGTATACAGCGCTTTACCCACCAGGTCACCAACGCTTAACACCATCACTGCTATCAATAGTAACAGGTCTGTGACAAGCACAAACTGCTCATAGCAAACAAGAGGAAATCAATCGTCAGTATTCGCCAGCACCACAACAACAAGAAGCACATTGCAACACGAGATTTCCACCTTCTTCACAGGGTACACCCGGGCAGAAGAGCCATGACCAGCACCACGAAGCTGAGTTGCAGTAGTCTTGGACAAATAGTCGCTTTTTGACGTTGCGGTGGTGTAGCTCCATACGCTCAGACAGCACACTGCCAACACTAGCGGCACATTCATCCACACCACATTTCGCATCGTGCGCTACAAACGAGCAAGGATATCAGATGCATACACGTGCATGTCAGCAAGAAGGTGTCTCGTCAAAAACACGCCTACCAAAGACCAACTGCACCTGCTGTAGCTTAGCACGAAACGCTTTCCGCTCGGCTTCACGCAACCGCCGCTGCAACACATTTGCAGGGTCATGTACACGACGAGCACGAATCTGCACCCACCACCAAGGACACAGAAACACGTTCCATTACTCCACTGCAGCCGATCCTCTTGATCAAGAATTGACAAGACTCGAACGCAACGGCTCACCACGCGTCGAAGCTTCTCTTTCACTGGCAAGTCGGCGTCAAACCGCGTCTCGAGGTGCGGGACGAGCAGCCTCGTCACCTGATCTTGGACCACTCTGTCATAACGCGCCTGCCTACAACAAACAGGCCAAAGTCTTGCACGTTGGTACATGCGCCTCGCTTGTTCCTTATTTCAGTACTTGTAGGTCGTTGCACCGTGTCGCACCATACGCGGTCACTGTCCAGCAGTCGGTGCAGCTGGCGACACGTCGAGCCCACGACCACCACGTCCAGAGGCCCGAGGAACGCAACGATCCGAGGCCAGAGATGGCGCAGCCGCTTCGACTGGAGCTTCACGCGCTTGTTCAGGTTCCGCAAACGCGCATCTTCGACCGTGGACGACATATGCGGTTCTAGAGGTAGTCGCGGGGATACGACGGGCTGGCTGTCTGTCTGGCTGAACGTCTGAGATAAGCGAAAGGGTTCAGTAGACGAAAGTGGCTTCATAGCTTCAAACGTTGTACTGAAATAAATGAAAACATAACCTAGAGTTGAACCGCACTTTGCTTGAGGAGCTTTACACGGGCTGTGCAGCAGCTTCTTGTTGTGCCTTATCTTTTGATTCACTGTTTAACGACTTCCGTGCATGTCCATGAGTGAGTCAGCTTACATCACACCGACCAACGCTTTCTTCTCTTGCTCTGCCAGGTATTTTGAAATGCGCTGCGCAAGCAACAGCGACGGGTACTCAACCAGATAATACGTTACCGTTGCAAGGATCGAGATGAGAACTAGTCGAGAAAACAGCCGGTCGTAGTAATATGGCTGGCTGTTGGGTGTCGTATTCTCAAGCACGAAGGAATGCATGAGGTAGACGGAGAAACTGATCTTGCCACAGTAGCGAAGCACGTTCCACTCGAACGCCGCGGACACCCAGGAGGGTCGAAGTATCTCGAGCACGATAATCACAGCTATGAGCGCGCTCGTGTACGGGAATCCACCTATTGGGGGCGCTGGGTTCTGATGAACCCAGGTGAAGAGCAAACCGTGAAACGACACACTCAGTAGGATCCCGATCGTCAACCATTCAACAGCTCGGACAACGATTGCGTGCCACCAATGGAATACAAACTCTCTCTCCTTCATCCACAAGTCCACTTTCACAAAAACCACGGCTGCCAGCGAACCCGTCAGGAACGTCGAAACATGAGGTCTCATAGGCATGTGGTCGAGTCTAATCGTGTGGAAACCTTCGTAGACAACCCACACAGTCAATGGCAGCGCGCCTACCCACCACAATCTCCGCATACCCAAGACAGCTAAGACGAAGACGGGAATTACGAAATAGTACGCGATTTCGAGCGGTAGTGACCAGAACACGTGGTAGCGATACTCGAACTCGAAAATGAGCGTCCTGAACACGTTGAAGGGTGGACGACCGGACGTGAAATAATGCTCTTGGTCTTCGGTCGACATGAGGGCCAGGATGATCACTAGCACAAAGAAAAGTGGGTACACCCGGAGAAATCGTTTCTGAAAGTAGTCGGCCATCACATACCTCCATGTGCGGCGGTTTGCGCCTTGAGCAAGCAGCTTCATGCTTTTCTTCATGAAAAGCCACGTCAGGAGAAAAGAAGAGAGAACAAAGAAGATATCGACACCGATGTAGCCGGGTACAAGACCTGGCCCACAATCACGCGCGTGCTCGAGGACAACAAGTATAGCTGCAAGACCACGGACACCATCGAGAAACAGCACCTTCGTCTGTGGCGCAGCGGGCGCTTCCAAAGGCGTCTTCACTGTCGTTTCCACGCTAACAGCAGGTCCGTTGAGCAGCGCCTCTTCCTCCACGTCTAACACCACTGGCAAGGTAGCGTGGTCTGAGACTTCGTTCACCTCTAGCTCAATGGATTCGACCGGTACCACCTCGTAACCATCTCCTCTGCTTGACACGTCATCGTTTATCGAGTTTAGGTGCATCGAGGCCCTGCTTTGGTGTCTTCGCCCTGCTACAAGTGGAGAATGACGTTCGACAATAGACTCGGTGGTGAGGAGCAGTCTAATGTGGTCTGGTCTACTCGGTGTTGCTGCAGGTTCGAGCCACTCAATGGATGGAGAGACGTTGCGATTGAGTCGCACTGGGAGAGTGGATGGCGTCGAGCGAAATGATACCGTACCCTGATCGCATGAAAGGATACACTTCGAGTGACACAAAGTCAGACTTAACACATCACGACAGTATAAAAGCTTAGCACAGCCGAGAACATAAGGGCGGTCCAGCGTAAACTGGATAAGAGGTCTGCACTCGATACATTGAGGTTCAAAAGTGTCCATTATACAGTACTCAATACAGTATAAGAGGAAAGACCGTGTGACAAGCTTTTGCTGATCCCTAGTGCCCATGATGTAACGAGGTAGCCCGTTACATGATATTGACACCAAACGGTGTCAACAGGAATATTGTCTAGCATGACAATATTCTACCAATATCATCCGAGATGGATAATTTTAAAGGAATATTATCCCTTTGTAGGATTGTATTCAAGCGCTGCTCAAAGATTGATTGATAGAAGACATATCAACCATAGATTACCAACAATCGCTGCTAGACGCGCGCAATGACTAGTGAGCAGGTTGTCGTCATACGACGACGTAGTTTAACATTGTTAGATAAAGATTAAAGTTATATTGATAGCTTAACTATATTAAATACAGTTCTCTTTTTACCCGTTACTCAACACAGTCGTTGAGTGCATAAGCTTCCTCTGCACATACTAGTGTACGTGAAGTTTCGTGGCAACCAGACAGAGGGTGCCCCGTTACACCTGGTAGCACTTCGTAGTCCGTCCAACGACCACTCAGTATCCGTCCAACATCAACATATTGGACGTAGAAGTAGACGGCTTTCACGTCACACGTGAAGGCTACTCCCATCTGAGTGACTCAAAGTGGGAGGTTGTCGGTTGCATGAGTGTGCTCATGGGCGAACCCGCCATCAGTGGTATGTCGGAGCCTCTAATCAGAGGCCAGCAACATGCTGCTATCAACAAGTTCCTACAAGGGGAAGTTGCCGTCGAACGACAGAAGATAGCCTTGCTACAGCAGCAAGGCTATCATCAGTCGATGGGTGGGCCGACGCACATGCGTTGACCCGAAACCTTGAAGATTGATATCTCAAGGTACAAGGGAACCGATGAAGATTCCTTGTTGAGATGGTTCGTCGAGTTGAACGACGCCATCAGGGCCCGTCACATCGAGGGTGACGAGATGCAAGTCACCTTCGCTCTGTCAAATTTGACGGGACGAGCAAAGACTTGGGCCTTGGGGCCAAAGCCTCACGACCCAAACGTGTTTAAGTCGTTAGAGATCTTGAAGTCTCGGCTTAAAGAGACATTTGAGCCGCCGAGAGCCGAGTTCAGAGCACGCTCTGCACTCTTGAGGCTAAAGCAAGGTAAGCGTGACGTGCACGCTTACGCACAGCACCTAAGCTACCTTGCGAGTAGCGTTACGGAAAACCCTGTTGATGAGCACGCGCTCATCAACGTGTTCACCTACGGCCTTGTGGATGGGCCGGTGAAGACCTACATGTTCCGAGAGGACTTCCATACGCTGGAAAAAGCGATAGCGTATGCGGAACAAGAAGACTTCAGCCTGAGACAGTCTCAGGCTAACTCGTCAAACTATCGTCCGACGAGACGATAGGAAACAGGAGGTCCCGAACCAATGGACCTATGTTATAGCGAGAGAGAGAACTCTCGAAATCTGAGCTATAAGCGATCGGAAAGGTGTCATCGCTGTAAGAAGGTCGGATACAACGCTCATGAGTGTACTGTCCCAAGCACTGCAACACGTCCAAGACAGAACGTGATGACCGCCGTTGGCCAAAGAAAGGTCCGAGGCGTGGGTCCGACCATGTCGCTAAGCCGCGACAGCAAGTCGGACCGTCAAAAAATGGACAGGATCAGTAGGGGCGGAGCACCCGTTGATCCAGCAACGTCAAGAGAATTTGTAGGACTCTTGACGATGATTTCTTCCAACACACAGTCGCTGTGTGTTACTGCCCCTAGTGATGAGGAGTCTCTCATCACTTTGAAGATCGAAGTGGAAAGTGGAATGTCACTTCGCGCCCTAGTTGACTGTAGGGCGTCGAACAGTTTTATTCGACGCCAGTCGCTAAAGGATATTAGGCTGAACTATGTTGAGCGAGAGTTCCCTCCAACGAGGATGACGGTGTGCCTTGCTACAGTCGCATCCGTATCAGTGAACAAACGTGTAGGGGAATCCACTACACGATAGAAGGAAAGCAGAACGACGATGCCTTCATTGTACTGTATATAGATGACAATTTTGATGTCATCCTTGGTCTGCCATGGCTCAGAATAAACGAGCCATTGATCATCTGGCAGCATTGATCCGTGAAGATGCCTGCCGTTTGTTTATCGGATGGCCATCTGATGAACGTCTTGGAGAGTCCACAAGCGTGTGGATGTACTGCGGGTAAGTGTTTATGGCCTCACTTGTGGTACGCTCGTTAGTACGACTGCACAAGATCACAGTGTGGAAGGCCACTACACTGTAAAACCAGCTTCCGGCACCTGTCTGGAGACACAGGATGCGAACGGACTGACACGGATGCAAAACGAGCAGGGTGCACTAAAAAATAAAATTAGTTTTTCAGGATGAACAACGCGTTGAAGCGAGATCGACTATCAGAAAGCCGATCTTAGAGCAAGCCCTATCGACTGAAAGAGAGTCTGTCAAAGAGGACGTGACCGTGGTAGTACACCCACAGTCAGTTGACGTAATGGATGAAAGTTTCAGCGTTCCTGAGAGTGATAACTCCCGAGAGAGCTATGTTGAGGGTATAAATCCCCAACCACCTGCGCATGTGTTATCCCAGGAAATCACCGAGACAATGAATGTCTTGGTGAATGACGGATCAAGTGTAGGCGCTTATACACTTGATCTGGTTAAACCCATGAAGTCAGCTTCGGAGGTAGTCAAGTTGCCAACGCTAAAATCTGAAAGATTCTTGCGATATCTGCGTAGTAACAAGATCAAGCAGATCTGCGTACTTGACACGGAGGACGAGTACGTCGTCGATATTCTGTCGGCACAAGTGTTTGCTGAGAACGAACGGGTTCTCAGTAGCTCATCAATGGACGAGAGTGTCCTCGATGAGAAGACTCGGATTGAGTGATACACGTCTCAAACTTGGGAGTCTTTAAAGCCAAACCCTTTGCGTGAGGATTTGGTTTAATTCAGGGATGTTTTCCCTGAATCCGTGCGATGCGAGCTGCCTAAGTACAAAGGCACTCGGCATGAGATCGAACTGAAACCCGGTTCGAAATACTGTGTCATGAAGCAGTGGCCACCGCCTCGTGAACAGGTAACAGTGATCGACAAATTCTTTGTCGATCGATTAGCGGCTGGTCATGTGAGGGAATCAACATCCCCACACATCCCTCCGACCTTCTGTGTGCGAAAGGCCACAGGAGGGTGGTGGATAGTGCACGCGTTCAACAAATTGAACGCTGCAACGGTACCGGCTCAGACGCCGATACCGAGGAAGAACGTAATCATTGATGGTATGTCAAAGAGTACCATCTTTTCGTCCATGGATTTGATGGATGGCTTCTATCAGATCCTTATGCGAGAACGGGATATACCCTATACCGCAGTTAGCACGCCTAGCGGCATGCTCTGGGAATGGCTAGTAATGCCACAAGGGCTAAGTAACGCCCCTGCAACGTTCAACAGATGTGTTACGAACCTGTTGCGATCGGTGCGCGATTTCGCACCGAGTTGCTTCGACGATGTCATCGTCCATCACCGGGCTATGGATGGAAAGACGGACGTGGGCGATTAGCGACTGGCATGTGCCACTCGACGTCAAGGGACTTCGAAAGTTCCTTGGCTTGGCAGCTTATTTGCACAAATACTCGCGCAACTATGCCGAGATGCCTGTACATCTCTCTCGTCTATTAAAGAAAAACGAGAGATAATCATGGATCGCTGAGTGTCAGCACTTTTTTGAAAGCATCAAGAAAATCTTGGTGCAATCGCCTGTGTTGGCGATTGTGGACCAGGATAGACCACCTGCATGTGGTCTGTGACGCCAGCGATTTTGCAATCGGCTGCGCGTTAATGCAGTACGACTCAGATGGCGTTGAGCGCGTCGTCTGTTATCAATCGCGTCAGCTGCAAGCAGCTAAGCTTAATTACCCGGTGTATGACAAGGAACTACTTGCCATGAAATATGCACTGGCTAAGTTTCGGGTATGTCTCTTAAAAGATATGCCCTTCATCGTTTATACCGACCATGCGTCGTTACGCACGGCCGTAAACAGTCCACACCCCTCGCAACGAATGGCGAGGTGGCTGTCTTTCTTCGCGGAGTACAACTTCTCCGTCGATTATAAACAGGGCGACTAAATGTCGTCACTGATGCTCTTTCGCGTCTGCCCGATTTGGAGCGGACTGCTCAACACAACAGTAGGGGTGATCCCACTGTTGCAATACTAAGAGTGAGTGTTCCGTCGTCGAATCTGCTCGACGAAGTGCAAAGAGCATACGCAGAAGATGAGTCTCTTTTGCAGCCGATTGATTACGTATCTAATCCATGCAGTCAAGATTTGAAAAGCTTGTCGTCTCAATACCGCTCTTCAACCGAACGGTATTCTGTTCGTGATGGACTGCTGTACTGTGCAGCAGTCAACGGCGACACACCTCATGACATCATTCCGGCTCATAATGATTTGCGATTGCGCATCATGTTGAGTGCCACGATGCCCCGACAAGTGGGCATCGCGATAGAGAAAAGACTTACCTCACGGAAAGTTGTGAACTTCTACTGACCTTGCCAGTATGAGTTTGTTGCGCAAATACATTCGCGCTTGCGAAGTTTGTCAACGGGTGAAGTCTAGTCCTTCATCCCGCGCACCCTTGTAGCCTTGCAGCCTCTACTAATTACAGAAGAGTGCTGGCAGTCCGTATCGATGGGCTTCGTCTTTGGGGTGTATCAAACACGGTCACAAGAATACTGACACTCTTGTGTTTTTAATCTGTTCAGCAAGACGGTACATCTTGTTGCTGTACCAAAGACATTCACAGCCCAGGGCTGTGCTCGTGTCTTATCATTGATATCTTCCGAATTCACGAGTTACCCCGTGAACTCGTGTCCGATAGGGACCCCCGATTTACGGCGGAGTTCTGGCAATCCGTGTTCCGTTCACTTAAAACACGTATGAAGTGAACGGAACACGGATTGCCGTTTAAAGATGTCGACTTCTGACCATCCCAAACATATAGTCAAACGAAACGCGTCAACCGTGTCCTCAAAGAGATACTTCGAGGGTACGTCCACTCGTTTACGAGTTGTAGTGAGTTCTTGCCAATGGAGGAATTCGTCATCAACAATTTGGTGCATGCGTCGACAGCGCGTACACCGTTCTTCGTGATTGGCCTGCGCCATCCACGTTTACCCGCCTTCTTAGAGTGTGACTCTAGCTTAAGGGGGGTGGACTCGCTCGAACAAAACCAATCTGATTCTTGCTCATCACCCGTCGACAATGGTGTCGACGTGTATGGATGCCGATGTCGATGATGACGATATCGATGATGCTGGTATATTCAGCATCGCCAATGACTACCAAAGTGAGGAAGATGACGCACTCACTGGTGAAGACAGCGTTATTTCAGCAGTGCACACGAAGCGCACTGCTGTTGACAAGGATGAATCAGCAGAGCAATTTCTGCTCACTCGCGAAGCGGTTGTCCGCTTCGTTCAAGACTCTATTACAGATGCAATAGACGGACAGAATAGAAATGCAGAAAAACATGGAAGCGCAAATGCTCTTTCATTTAATGAAGGAGATTAAGTTTTACTGTCTACAGTAAACCTACCGAAACACGCAGTGACAAACGTGGGCAGCAGTAAATTACAGTCCTGGTACATCGGTCCATTTCGTGTGTTGCGCCGAATGGGCAACGCATGCACGACTGAACTGCCCCGTAAGATGCGTACGCATCCTACGTTTCACGTGGATCGTCTCCGCCCGTACTATAGGTACAATACCGTTTAACAATGCGAAGTACACATCCGCGGTCGAGAGCCGAGACCACCTTCGAGTGGTCCCGTTTCAACGATCCAGTCTGTTCGACTAGCGAAGCGACCTGCTCACGCAGTTGAGCGATGTCTCGACGAGCTGCAGCCAGCTCATCACGAAGAGAACGAGTCGAACGTTCGTTCTTAAGTTGCACGAACGCGAAAGCGGCACGATCGTCCGAACGGTAGTGTGTTAAGGAATTGTCATCATTCCTTAAAAGATCCTGAGGCTCATAACGCCTAGTTCGTTCGTGAGCCAGGTCATCTTGCAACTGTTCCGTTGCACGGTTCATCTCCTGAACATCAAGCTAATCCGACCCTCGAGCCGGACCAGGCGTTCCCACCACCACCACATCGTTTGGTGGACTCAAGCGGTGGTCAACGCTTCCAAGTGGAACGTATTTTGAGCCACCGCGACGTGAATGGCGTCCGGACGAGCTATCTCGTCCGCTAGCGTGGCTATCCACCGTCCTGGGACAGCTGGGAGCCTCGAGCTCAGCTAATTGTTAGTGTCTTTGGTCTCGTCGAGCAGTATGACGAGACCCACCCGCTGTGTTTGAAGAAGGGCCGTCGAAAAACGACCTACTCGAACGTGAGCATCGGGATTGCAAAGTGTCGATCCCTTCGGCTATCTCGGAAGAGATGCGCGCCGTCCAGTAGGGATCATTAGGGAGGTAGGCCTCCCTAAGGGCACATTTCGAGTTGTCCAGGCAACTTGAAGACTACTCACCTCACGAGAGACAGGGTAATTCTTCCTCTCTTGACAGCCATTGCAACTTGTATCGCGCCCCGACTGGGTTATGCTTCTCAAACCTGATGCATCAAGTTTGGTGAGCCGTGCCTCACGGCCAATGCTTTCGATGTTGTGGATGAGCACTCCATCCCTGCACTAAGGCTTCGTCGTCTCGTACAAGGCTACCATTGTACCACCGATGTTTGAAGAACGCATCGGTGAAGAACTCTTCCTCAGCACGGATAGTTTCCGTGCTGGAATCAGGTGGGAAAATCTTCCTGCAGTTGAAAAACGGGATTCGATCTCAATCGGTAATCATGCCGGCCAACCGGTCCAACTCTATGGTTGGTGGCATCCACGGAGACTCCACTCGAGGAGCGTGGCGCAGGACATTTCGGTCCCTGGCCTCTTGATTGGTGCCAGCATGAGCACTAGCACCAGTGTTACCCCGATCCGTTGAGTTACTTCGCTCGTGGTGATGCATAGGTGCATCGCCACCATCCCCACGCGCCCTATCGTTGGATGGACTTACGTGAGGCGGAGACTCATCGGATTCATCATTATAATCGGACGTGATACCGCCTCCTTTACCAGAGCCAGTGAACCTGGCTCTTGTAGTGTCCGCCCCAGGTGGCCGGAGGCGTGAGGTGTAGCCTTCGAGTCGGATGCATCATCCGACTCGCCAGATAAGATGAGCTCTATTTCAGACTCATCGTGATTACGACTCAGGGTACCCGCTGCAGACGCAACGGATGTACCTGTTGCACGTGGTGACTCACCACGTGGACGATACACAACAACAGGCAACGAATCACCTGCTGCTGGGGTCTGAAAGGCACTTTCCACGGCCGCACGCATGCGTGCAGCCGCTCTTCTTGCTGCTGCAGTAGCATCTCGCGTGGTTTTCGAAACCATGCGTTGAATTGGCAAATGAATGGGATTTGACCAACAAGTGCTCCCTTTCCCAGAGTGATCCAACGGTGGCCACCCTGTCCCAATCAATTCTAATTCAATCAACGGGTGATTGATGGTTAAGGGGGGGGGTGATGTAAAGGGGTAGCCCGTTACATGATATTGACATCAAACGGTGTTAATAGGGATATTGTCAAGCATGACAATGTTCTACCAATATCATCCGAGATGGATAATTTTAAAGGAATGTTAATCCCCTTAATGGATAACATTTATGCGCTGCTCCAAGATTGTTTGATAAAAGACATATCAACCATAGATTGCCACCAATCGCTGCTAGACGCGCGCAATGAGTTGTGGGCAGGTTGTCGTCATACGACGACGTAGTTTAATATAGTTAGATACAGATTAAAGTTATATTGATAGCTTAACTAGATTAAATACAGTTCTCTTTTTACCCTTACTTAAATGAGTCGTTTAAGTAGATTAGCTTCCTCTGCACGTACTAGTGTACGTGAAGATTCGTGGCATCCAGACAAAGGGTGCCCCGTTACAGATACGATCACAGTATTTGAAAAACCGTCCAAGCTGATATTCGCGTCGTAAACACTGCTCCACGTGCCGCAATTATCATTTTTTTATCACAATGACCACACGCATGAAAACACCAATAGTCGGACCCTGCATCATAGAAAGGACGTGTGGATTGCAACGATCGTCACACCTAGCTATCGCACATTTGCCCTCATTTACCCTTTCGAAGGTAAGATTTTCCTCGTTTGTTGACGTATCACGTGGAAGCATTGCATGCCTACTTCATATCGCCACCTTCCATATCATACACTGATGTACTCAACCTCACCACCTCACAGAGGTTGATCATATTTTGATAAATCAACATCGAAGGCGCCGGACAGTGCAACACAAACATTTACTGGTTGTAAGTACCATACAAATGATCCGCCGTTGATCTCGAAAACTTTGTCGTCTTAGAATGCTACACCGCATATTTGGTCGCACTTTCGCAATTTAGTGCACCGATCTGCATTGGTACTTTCGATAGTCGCTCAATGTGTAAGCACGAGCGTGAAAACACGATACGTGTGAATGGCGATGAATTCGTGTCGTCATACCGACGGTTGGTGCGAGAAGTTGACCTGTAGTTACGAGCATTTCATTAATCCGAAACACAAGCCGAAGACCACCCTATCTGCGTTGCATATCATGTGAACTGGGCATGAACGAGGGTGATACAGGATCTTAAACAAGAAGTGGTGGTTTATCGACGCTTGCTGGATCACATCGAACACTTCTAGTAATACGCTTCAATACAGCAGCACAAATGCCAACCATCACCGTGCAGTAATTACCCGCTGATAAATTAGCTCTACTGGTTTGGTTCACTGACAGCGATGGTTCCGTCAATCTTAGCGTAGTTTTTTTCTTCAACAGGCAGGCCAGATTATTGATCGTTTCATCCATAGAATGAACCTTTTGGCGGACGTTGTCTCACACATACGGACTTTAGATCATTGAAAGTGGATTCTGTCGACCTGTACTTCCTCTACATCGATGCGGAAGGAAATGTGAATGCAGAAGTAATTAAGACTGTACTAATTTATCGATTCCACGTAAGTGCTCTGGAATATACATTACAGTTGATTGTGTGTCCAAAATGCGGCTTATGAGAAGCACAAATAGAGACACCGTGGCCATTGCTGCAATGACTATAGGTCTGACAAGACCCTCTGGTTATTGCTAGATCTTCAAGCTCTCGATTCTTTCTCCGTAACCATATCCAGAACCTTGGATGCAAGCGTCTTAGCGTCAAAGGTTCTGGATGATCGAAATCCACTTTGTTGTGGTCGAGGTACTTTGATCGAGAACGGATAGCCGTGGGGTGCTGATGATCCTGGACAGCTACAGCGCATCCATCTTGCTTGCTGGTATGCCGCGGCAAATAATACTGCACCGCGCAATAGTCCTCTGTAGTTCGTCCTTTATGACTTCGAAGACTTCGCCTAGCCACAGCAGATCTCACGCAGGTCAAAACGGACTATTGATAGAGCTCTAACTGATGTACACGTAGTACCCCGACACATGGGTCACTGAGACCACACAAAAAGATCAACGTTCTTCATGATTGTCAGCTATTAGTCCCATTCTGCATTAATGATGTCGTCACAAGACCGCTTGAAACTGTTACAGATAATGCAACATTCGCTAAAGGCAGCTGAGGCTACGAGAGTTCTCAGCGAGCAGTATCTCGATAATGGATTGACAGAACGACAGGAGCACAAGATTTAACGTATCAAGTATTCTAAATTAATGGACACTTGCAATCTGCAAGATTGTACTGGTTAGCATATGAAACCTTACCGCCCGGCCTACGTGAATTGTAAAGACCGCCTTCCAAATTTGAGTCGGGGCCAGCAGGATGACAGTCAGAAATCGCTAAGATCACCAGTGTGGACGATCAGAAAGGTCAGGGTAAGACGATGCGACTGCAGTAGGATAGAGGTGTGCAGGATTCCATTTAGTTACCATAGCAAATGAAGGACATGCTAGGAAACATTGGCACGTACCAAATGGTTCAGCCTGACACGCGGGACTATCTCCGACGTGTTTCAGTTGGACCTTTCAAAAAGTCGTTGCAAGTGATCATTCACATCTAGACGGCTTCGGCGGACGTCTAAATTTTGTTGAAACTCACCTCCACCCGAACATGAGATGAGCGAATGTCAGGTTAACGCGCACTTTTTTAGCGTCACCCTGGGATACTGGATACACTCGAATATGACCATCAACACGTCAGCACAAGCACTTATTTGAACCAAGGGACCTCATCGTGCATTCAAATTACTTGGAAAGATGTATTAAGTAGTGGATGTGACAGCCGCTGAGGCGGAGGTAAGTGTTTACTAGATGAGCGATATCCATTTCACAATTGATAATTTTAACACGTTCGAGTGTTCAGCGCTTTTCACAAGCCTCTATGTCAAAGACACCGAATTTGTTCAAAGCGGGAGACTGCTTCACCGCCGACGGCGTCATTGCTAATGGCGAAATCATCGGCCTCGACGCGTGTGGTTGCAGTAAGAGTTGCTGAATATCAATCATGGGATACAAGGGTCTGTCTGATCGAATGAATGATTCAGCGAACGAGGGTGGCTCAGTTGCCTTGTACGTTGTACTGCAAAAAATACAATCTACAATTATCACACATCTTACTTCAGTTTTTTTGCACGTGCTGCTTCCTGTCGCGCCTTCTGTTCACTTTTCGACGAATCCTGCTCCCCATGAGAAAGCAAGCTAAATCACACCGACCTTAGCTTTCTTCTCTTGATCTGCCAAGTGCCTTGAAATGCGCTGCGCAAGCATCAGCGACGGGTACTCGACAAGGTAATACGTTGCCGTTGCAAGTATCGGGATGAGAAACAGTCGAGAAAACAGCCGGTCGTAGTAATATATATGGCAGGTTGTCCTCTCTAGTATTCTCAACCACGAAGGCATGCATGAGGTAGATGGAGAAACTGATCTTGCCACAGTAGCACAGCACGTTCCACTCAAACATCGTGGACACCCACGAAGGGTGAATCATTTCGATCACGACAATGGTCGACATGAGTGAGCTTATGTACGGATCTCCGACTATCCGAGGCGCTGGATTCGGATGAACCCAGGTGAAGAGCAAACCACGAAACGATACACTGAGCAGGACCCCGATCGTCAACCATTCAACAGCTCGGACAACGATTGCGTGCCACCAACGAAACATAAACTCCCTCTTCTTCATCCACAAGTCCACTTTCACAAAAACCACGGCCGCCAGCGAACCCGTCAGGAACGTCGAAACATGAGGTCTCATGGGCAAATGGTTGGATCTAGTTGTGTAGAAACCTTCATAGACAACCCACACAGCCAGTGGCAGCGCGCCTACCCACCACAACCTACGCGTACCGAGCACTGCCAAGACGAAGACGGGGATCACGAAATAGTACGCGATTTCGAGAGGTAGTGACCAGAACACGTGGTAGCGATAGGCAACCTCGAAAATGAGCGTTCTGGGTATGTCAAGGGGTGGACGGCCGAACGTGAAATAACGCTCTTGTTCTTCGCGCGTCATGAGGGCCAGGATGATCACTGTCACGAAGAAAAGGGGGTACACCCGGAGAAATCGTTTTTGAAAGTAGTCAACAAGCACATAACTCCAAGTGCGGCGGTTTGCACCTTGAGCAAGCAACTTCATGCTTTTCTTCATGAAAAGCCACGTCAGGAGAAACGCGGAAAGAACAAAAAAGATGTCGACACCGATTGCTCCGGGTGAAAGACCCTCCTTAAAGTCGTGCGAGTGCTGGAGATACACGAGCATGGCTGCAAGACCGCGGACACCATCGAGAAACAATACCTTCGTTTGTGGTGAAGAAGGCGCTTCCAAAGGCTCTTTCATCGTCGACACCATGCTGACAGCAGGTTGATTCAGCAGCGTCTCATCCTCCACCTCTGACGCAGACGGCGATGGCGATGTGCCGTGGTCCGAGGTGTCACCGTCCGCGATCTCAATCACATCCAGCTCGGTTGGTCCGGATGGCAACGTCTCATTTTTCTCTGGTCTGATTGACACGTCATTGTCTGTCGTCAACTCCGGATTCATCTCCGTTGGTTCTTATGTACAGAGTTGAATGCAGAATGAGGATCGACGAGTGTGTTTCTGATAAGACGACGTGAGTACGTGGCTCACATGCATTAAGACAGCAGGCTCCTGACCATAAATAGCTGGGCCTGAATCTGTGGGACACCTCGCTCACATGTCTTAGCCGAGCCCATAGATGTTAGCCACAATCTGTGCATGTCGAGGCATCGCAGAAAACTAAAAATTCGAGTCGCATCGTAAGGGATAGTAAGCATCCTCCAAATAATCACATCGTGCGGACGGTATCAACAAATCCGGAGTGAGGTGCGACTTTCGAGTTAGGGGTACACGTCGCTTTAACAGTAAGCAGCAGTCTCGACAGCGCTCGTATAACATGTGACTCCACCTGCCTCTTTCTAGGCACATACATGGCTGGGAGCTCACAGAGTACCAGGTAGGGGTCTGCTATTGAGTAGCAGAGCGGCAATTGAATGCGAATTTTTCCTGGCAGGGAGCTGGATTCCAGTTGCTCCAAGCTCCGGTGCTGCCGTGGGGAGAAAGAGACGCTGGAGATTATTTTCTGGACCCGCCCCTGCGCGCAGGCATGTTGGTAAAAACTCACCTGCCACTGGACGGGTGAACGTTGGGATCTGGGCCGTCTGCAGGGATTTGTACTAAATAGTGCCAGCAGGCAGCCGCCGACACTATCGAAAGTGGTGGGAGATCGTATTGCACGCAAGCGTTCCGACGAAGGACATGCCGATGTGACGGTTTGGGCACGGTTATGGCGAATCCTGAGCAGCGTCTGCATATAAGCTTGTGGATTCAGCGCAATCTAGTTATGGTTCATGGGGGGAAGCGTAACGTTAGAAGGCAGTGTCAAGGGCAAACTGGCCTGCAGCAACTCCGGGCGGTCGCAAAGCGGGAGTATCGATGGGCCGGCACGACAATTCAAGGAGCGCGTCTGCAATCATGTCTAAGACAAGTAGCCAGGCAACCAAGAGAGCCATCACCTCGGGTGAAGAGCCCCGTACAACCACCGGACTCGGATGAGACACCAGCGTTGCTAACCAGGCTTGAGGTATATCGGACGTCCTGCAACCAAAGATAGGTTGAATAGACACGTCTGCATCTCTCACATTTGACTCGGACGCCACCAAGTTGATGTCGCTACTAAAATCACGACAAGCGCCCAGGGCACGCATCATAGCGATGCATCATCATACCATGGTACAAAGCACCGAGCGCATTGTACCCTCTCTCAGAAACTACCTGGCGTTTGTGGATGACCGACCACTCGACAACCCGGTGCCAAAGATCGATCCATTGTATGCAGACATCGCCTTGTTCATAATGAAGGCGTGTGGTTGCCGTCAGCTCTGCGACGAGGGGCTTCATGAGGCGCAAATATGGTCTCAATGAGGTCCATGAATCCATCTGATGGTTGCATTCGAAAGCGAGGTACGTGGTACAATAATGTTGACTCGCAAACGCAGTGAACGGAACCAAAGCGTTTTAAGCAGGAAACCGCCACTTATGAGCCGCTTTTTCTGCCTAATCGCCCCATCCCCACCAGCTGATCCGCTACTTTCGGCGCACGTTTTGTCGTCTAAATGTTCTACAGTGGCTACACCGGATTCCCATTTTGGACCCAAAAGCAACTACGGCTAAGTGACGAGGACCAGCAAAAAGTCAGTATGGCGGCTCCCATACCTTTACGCGAATTCCTCCTTGATAAAGCCCTGTGTCAACGTGGAGGCCTGCTCTCATCCGCGCGTGCCACGTGAGGCAGCACAGCCTGTTGGTAGAGGGGAGCATAGCCACGGCATCCACTCGTGTGGGACACGTCAGCGGGGAATCGAACACCCTACACCCAGGCGTCGACACGTTTCCGCCCCTCCACTTCCGCCTTCAGTCAACGACCCGTCCACCCAACGCGGACCCTGGTTCCACGAGGAGAACTCGTTTCGAAGATGGGGCTTTGTGGTCGATCCGTGGCTAAGGTACATGTCGCGGACAGTTCAATAGTGCACATCGGACTGTCAGGAGCAACAACAGGCGTAAGCCCTTTCAGCCCTTCCTATGCATTCTTAGAAATCCGGCTTGGTTCCGGTCACACGTGCCCTGTGTGCAGCGCCCCGTGATACCTGACATCTCGAGCCAGCAGAGTGAGCTAGCAAGGAGCAGAACGATGTAGTCCCAGGCATGCTATTCGCACTGACAAGTTAGCATTGTCGTGAGTGCTCAAATAGACGGTTTTTCTCTCTCACATTAGGCACCACACACCATCCTGACGGCTGACGGTATTGCACTCTGGCTCGCACGCACGCACGTTAGTTGTAACGGGGCACCCTGAAGCTTGTACTGGTGACAGTACAAGCTACTTATTCTGATAACAGAATAAGGCGGTGCCTAATCTACGTCAGAGGAAGACGTAAGAAGAAGCGAGTACTGGTTAGAGTAAAGTAGAACTGTATTTATAATAGTTATTGTTTTTTCACCACTCACGCTGCGTCTGTCGGGCGCGTCTTCGTTGGTTGATATAATGGCCTATATCAACCAATTAGGAACTACTTGAAGTGCTACAGAATATTGTCCTTATGACAATATTCTGAGAATATAACTCTTATAGTTATATTCTATTAACAATTTCTTATAAATTGTTATGTAACGATTCACCCCGTTACATTAGTAGACACGATTGCACACCATTGATCGGAAGTAAAGGAGAAGCGGTCGCGCTACCAGCACGTCTTCACCACGACTACTTCGTTACGCAAACGTCATGTGCTCGGTCCGTGCGAAACGGTGCAGAGAGTTTTACGAGGCAGCTCATGCGGTGCAGATGCAATGCAATACTGGTACACTGCGGCCGCAACGCCTCGGAAAGTGTTATCGATCTATTTGTATTTGGCTGTGCCTCGAGATAATACAGCAATGGATAAAGAGAGCATGTGGTGCGCAAAGCATTCCGCGAACGTTAAGGAAACGTGGTACCAGAAGAGCAAATACTAGCCACGAATTTTCGATCTAAGGGCATTGGGTGTTGTCTAGCTGTCACATACGAGGACGAAGATGACCTGATACGAAACCCTTGCATCTGCGTTGACAGGTGGTGTAGTAATATCCTCCAGTAATCGGTCGTATACCATTTACGAGAATTGAACGAAAATGAGGAAATTGACTATCTACACGACTCGTTCCTGTTTGCTATCAGTGACGTCGCGCCCCTTACTTTACAATAAGGGAAAAAATAGGTATGCACCCACCCTTCGATACATACACACCCAAACGACCTACTTAAATTTATCAACGGTGCCGTACTTACACATTAATATATGTCAAGGAAATATTTTGGTACACACCCACCTTTTGATGCGTACACACCCAGTCGAACAATTTCGATTATTACTTGCCATAAACCGTAAGGTACACGCAAAGAGACGAAAAAGTCACATTCTACTACTAAGCAGCACTGCGATCTTGGTTCATAAATAGCTGGTAGTCATAATATTGCGATGTCAAAGAGCATCTAAACGCGTAGATCGCATTTGCTTGTGCCGTCTGCAGAGGATGTCGAGGTGCCGCCGGCGGGCACGAAACGGTAATCGATACATATGACGATTTATGATGGGTACACGTTATCAAGACGTCGCTCAAAGAAGTGCCGCACAGACAAGATTAGAAAAGATCGGCTATCCGCTCTCATGCTGGTCAGCAAACAAGCGACAGAAGTAATCAAAAGGAAGAGTCGCAGAATCGTCGCAGTTCAACACGCAGTTCCTGGTCTCCATTTACCGTCACAGACAAAATTAATGCATTGGCTAACGATCATGGCGATGGCCATACTGCTTGATACCAGCAATGTTGTCACTGTGGCAGTGTGCAAGTAGCACATTGCTAAAGAATGCGGCGAGTAAAAAGAACGACCAGCGAACTCCTTTGTCTAACCCGCCGCTATTCTTTTAAGCATGCTTCGTGTCAAAACGACCCTTTTTAGGATCCAATTGTGCTAGGACGCGGTCATGGTAGTGATCATGAGCAAAAAATTCAGCACAATGTAATGCACTAATCTTCTAGTTGATGTCGGTCTACGTAGCAATTAAAGCTCTACTATGTAACTTCGTGGCCCCAATTATATCGCTCGACGCGATTTTCAAAGACTTCGTCCGCTCGTACGTGTCCTTACGGGATCGATTTGCGTATACGATGTGTCAAATGCGCCCAACTCCATCGCATGGAAACAGCAGCAGTCGATGTTGCTACTGCAGTTAGATTGACCGTTGATAATGCATGTGCGAAACGTCCATTGACCTTAGCAGTCTGAAGATCGGGATATTTACTAAGCCAGCGTTTCGCGGTCTGGCTTCACGCCAGCTATAAAGCATGAAGGGGAAGTCATGGTCGGGATGGCAGTGCTGTTTAACATTGTATTACAAATTTGTTTCTTGTGTAGTTGATCGATCGATCTGGGTACGGCACCGTTGACAAATTTAGACAGGTCGACTGGGCGTGTACGCTTAACAGAGTGGGTGTGTACCGATAAATTTTAATGATTTACCTGTCAAAATGTTTGGCATCGAGCATTGACTTACTGAACAAATCGGGAGTAAACCGAAAGATTCACTCAATTTTAAACCGCAAAAGAATATTTTTCTTCACTCACACAATTATGCAGCAAAAGCATGCTGCGAACCGAATTCTTGCACGTTTAAAACGCTATAATATTTTTATAATGATACGTACGCCACGTTGATGAAATAGGTCAGCACTGGGTCGTGCGTGACAACATTAACAGGAGGGCTCAGAAGAAGCACAATGTATTGACCAAGGCTTAAGAAACGTTCAACAGTAGCTGTCGCACGGTAGCGAACAATGACACGCTCAATTCGGCACACTAACAGCACCTTCCGTCTGCTATACCAACACCATAGCTCGTCCTTATGTAAAAACAATGTGCTGCTTCTTGATAGGTATCTGCGCCTCGTACCCCGGGAACTCATAGTCAACGCCGAGTGCCTTGAGCACCTTACGTTTCTGTCGCTCCTTTGCCACAAGCCGCTTGGTGTTGGCCACCGTCTGCTCGTACGTTTTCTCGGCATTATGGCGATTGCGGTTGATCGCCGCTCGAGGAAGTGGCTTAAACTCCGTGTTGGCACCCACAAACATACGTTCGTGGACGGCATGCGGCGGCAGCACGTGGCATGACAGCGTGTGGTCAAAAAGTCGGTACTGATTCATCGTGTCGGCCACAATTTGCGCCACTTCCGGCTCGTCGAACTGAATGAACGCATAGTGCTTCGAGTTTCCCGTGCGCTTGTTGCGTGACAATCGTATGCGGCGGACGACGCCAAACTGCTTGAAGAACCCCATCATCTGCTTCTCGTAAAAGCCGTGGGGGATGCGGCCGAGATAGATAACGTTCGATACTTGGTCTTTGGTCTTCTCGTCCGTCTTCTGCTGGGATCGTGCAGTCGCATCTTTCTTGCGCTGCATCTTGCTCTTGCGCTTTTTGCTGCCAGTCTCAATGGCACTGGCGTCAACGGCTGTGGGGAGCTCCACCAGGTCATTCTTGCCGTCAAAGACGGAGGCGGCCTGCGTCTCACCGTCGCTGTCCGAGTCCCAGTCATCACCCTTGAGCTTTTCTAATTGAACCGCAATCTTCTTGTTCCCCATGGTGTCCGAGCACGTGATGCGATGTCCTGGACGTCTGCGTGCAAAAGGCGAGATGAGCTTCTGACAGCCAGTCGGAAAGTGAGTGGAGCAGCAGTGGACGGCTTCTGGTCAGGACCAAATACCAAATTTTGTGATTTAAGAGGGTCTGAGACGATCAGTAGGTCGCTGACTTCAGAGCTGAAACTAACTAGGTGTGGCACGACGCTGGCGAAGAGCTGTGAAGGTTAGATGACGTGCAAAACGTGGCTGCAAAGAACTGCCGATCCTTTGCGCCAGCTCGCTGGCTGTCAAGGGTACGGGCATTGACAATGACTTACAAGTCGCTGGAGAAGCGATTCGCATTAGATTTTAAACAGTCCCGTCGTCTTATACTGCGGTCGCTCCAGCGTAAGAAAAAAGTTTGCAGTCGTGTCTGTGTGTGACCTCAATGCGTATCGATCGCTGTGACAGCGTGTAAAGCGCATCACCAACCAACATCACGAATAGATGGCCATGCAAAAGCACACTGCACGAAAGTGAATGAACAGTTACTTGCTCACTCAGTGCTCAGCACCTTGTCGCAGCTACAACTAGAGCCTACGAGAAATAACCGCAACTGCTTCGTGGTACAAGCACGTCACGTGAACGCACATCAAAATGGACGCTACGACGGACACGACAATCAGCTGAATACTGCTTTGTCATTGGCCAAAACCTAGATGATAAATCTTATCAGCCAATCTACGCGTCATATCGCAATCCACGCCCCCTTGCAACAACTCGGCGCACATGCTGCGCCCTGTACTAGCCCTAGCGCTTGCATTGGGCCTGTTCGTCGTTTCCAGCTCGAGCTCTTCCACGTCTACTTCGGTCCGCGGCGTAGCTCCATCCGACCAGCAAAAGTTTCTGGGCGATGACTTCTTGTGCGTCGTGGGCGGACAGTCCCACTATGTGCCAATCAGTCGCGTGAATGACGACTTCTGCGACTGCGACGACGGCAGCGATGAACCTGGCACGGCGGCCTGCTCTTATGTGGCAGCGAGTGAATTCTACTGTGCAAATGACGGGTTTTTCTCGAAAAAAGTAGGTTCAATCGATCATTTTGTCAGGCTTTGGAAAAAGGTGTTTCTAACATGTTGATATGTTGTGGCCTCAGATCCACACGTCTCAGATTTATGACGGAGTCTGTGACTGCTGTGACGGCTCGGACGAGGAAGTGGACGGCGTGTCGGTTTGTTCGAACTCGTGTGCAGCAGCTGCTGAGGCGTTCCGGAAAGGTGCAAAAGAGCGTCTTGAAGTGGTTCGTAGCGGGTTTGAAAAGCGTCAAGCGATAGTGGATGGAGAAATTGCACCGTATTTTACTCAACTGGGCGAGTCGGAGAGGAGTATTGAGAACGATCTGGTGGCGTTGAAGCTGCTGATGGACAGAGTGATGGTGCACAAGGAGCGCGAAGAGTTGCGAGAAACGAGATATCGTCTTGAAGTTGCAAGAAAGAAGCAGGAAAATCAGATGAAGAACGGAGATGAGGGAGTAGAACGAAGCAATGAGCAGTCGATGAATGCAGCGGAAGCTGATGCGGATGATGCAGCAGTGGAGTTTGAAACACTTGATGCTACACTACTGGCCGACGATGATGCGCCTATCGATCTAGCAGAAGATCTACGCGCGCTTGAGGTGTTTGACTCGAGTGGGCAGAGTATCAAGAGCCTGGTTGAGTTGCCGGACGGCACGAGAATTTCTCTGGCGGACTGCTTGCGCACGGACCACAAAATTCTAGCTTCTACCAAGAAACTGTGCGTGCTTGCTCGAATGTAGACGAGCAGGGTTTTTGTTTCCTGATGCAGTTTGGTATTTGATGTCTGTGATTAGGTGGACTTTACGGAAGGAAGGAGAATCGTGGCAAGAAGTTTATCTGGGGTTTATCATCAGTGGAGAAGCTGAAGGTCGAAAGCAGATTGGGCTTGCTGTGCTGCGAGTTTTCGGTACGAAGATCTCGCACTTACATCGAACCGATTGTTGGGAGAACTCACTAACTGTACGTGCATATTGTGAAGGCATTATTGTCTCCCCTTTTCGTGTGCTTGCAGAGTTGGTTCTGTATAGCCCACGAGTGTTATGGCGTTTGTTATCAACTCCTGAAATTGCTGGTCCAGTTATTGACAAGTTTCCGAACATGCCGTCTCCTTCGCATTCGGCCTGGTTTCGTCGACTTGGCGGTGGCAAGGTTTACAACGGATACAACTCTGTTATGTGGGCCGCGCAAGTCGTGTGGGATGCACCGATTTATGCGTACCACTATCTGTTGTACGTTGCGTCCATATACTTTGCACTCTATCTCTCTGACGTCTTATGTTGCATGTACGTACATGAAGTCCCACACTTGATAGTGACATGAAGCTGCCAGTAGCAGAGTCATTGCGGTTAGTGCTCCGGGAGATACAGTCGGACATTACTAAATTGGAGAGAGATCGAAGCGACAAGCGCGAAGCTGCTTCCATTGACTACGGTCCGGATCGCGCATATTTTACCCTGAAGGACAAGTGTATCGAGAGGCGGATTGAGGTAAGATGCTGTTTTTGTCGATTGCGCTGATTTTGCTGCGTCATCTGAAAGGTCACGTGAACGGCGTTGTTTGTCCAAGTAGAAATACGACTACAAGTTCTGCGCATTTAGCAACGTCAAGCAGGACCACACAACACTTGGCAAGTGGGATGGCTGGGCAGTTCGTGACGACAGTGAAGTGCCATCAGTTGCCACTGTGGATCACACAAGAATGCGTTACTCTAACGGTCAAAGGTGCTACAAGGGTCCTGAACGGTGAGTTGTCGAAGTGTCTTTTGGTTTGTCTGTCTAGAGGTATGAGGGCCAACAGTGTCATGGTGCGTACAGGGCCGTTTCTGTGAAGCTTGAGTGTGGCGACAAGGACGAGATATCAGGTGTAGATGAACCTTCGACCTGCGTGTACGTGATGGTTGTTCGATCCCCATTGGCGTGCACTGCTCGAGTACTTGCAGACGCAGAAGCAGAGGCGGCGCTGGGTCAATGAAAGCACCGGCAGTAAAACCGGTTCGGGAACGAAGGGAATGAGAACCCGATTGCGAGGGTAGCATCAACAGTGTGGCCTACTAAATCGCACATTAGCTCTTTCTAACAACTCGGCTGTGGTTGGCTGTAGCGAACGGAACGAGCATGTAACGTGACGAGTTGGAGGTATTTTATATCGCTTAGCAACTGAACATTCGTTCTTCGTGACAAAATAAAGTGTCAGTATGCGTGATACCGATTTCTTGAACACATCGATCTACCAACAGTTCCTCTTTACGCTTCGGCTCTCGTAGAGACCAGATCGCAAAACAGTCGACTTATGTCTGCAGCATGTTCACATCGAAACCATGGACGCGGCAGTTTACACAGCGATGATCTTGATATTTTTAAATGCTCAATGTGACGCCCTACCGATTGTAATATCTTCGACGCATACAAGAGCCTCATTTTGATGTTCGAAATCTTAACTAGGATGCAATTGGCCATGTCTTCTGAACGGATATACATGATAGCTTAGGGATCTGACAAGCGATTTAGGCCGTTTAGTCGATTTCAGTCGCACTCCATCCGAGGATGTATCCGCAAGAATTGTCAAGTGTTCGTGGCCGCGCTCAAAAACTGCTCTCGTCTGCAATGGAATTTCATCGCCATTGTGGCCACGTGTCAACTTGAATGGTTGTGTAGCTTGTAATCCATTCTTGCATGGCGTAGGGCATTTCAACGGCTTTGCGCTCAATGCAGTCCCACAGTAGTAGTTTTTTCTCGTTCCTGGTCCTTCTTGTCATCTCGACCATCGCGTCATACCTGTCCAACAGGTGATCTAGGAATTCCTGTGGAGGTTTCACGTGGTGGTGATAAATGTAGTGCCAGTATCCCTCAGGCCAGCAGTAACTCCCGTCGGTCATAGTGCAGGCGCCCATAACTTGGGGCTGCTCTAGCGCCAACGAGCAGGACGAGAACCGACAGAAGCTGTAGGCAAATTCATGACTTTCGACGAAAGCTCGAGTGAGGTACCCCTCGATCTTCTGCAGCACAACAGGATCACTTTGAGTAAACCAGATGTCATCAATAAGCTGAAGAGGATTCGGACGGTTTGCACTAAGTGCTTTATTGCTTGAAACAGCTTGCTCAGAGCACCAAAAGCCTACTTCCCTCATGATTTCGCTTAAATTCGCAATGATCTAGCACAAACAATTAGGAGGTAGATGTAACGGGGTGAATCGTTACATAACAATTTATAAGAAATTGTTAATTGAATATAGCTATGAAAATTATATTCTCAGAATATTGTCATAAGGACAAATATTCTGTAGCACTTACGAGTAGTTCCTAATTGGTTGATATAGGCCATTATATCAACCAACGAAGACGCGCCACGACAGACGCACGCAATGAGTGGTGAGCAGATAACTGATTTACACATTTGTATTTAGACATAGTTAGATGAAGATAAATAGTGATTTATTGCAGACATTAACTATTATAAATACAGTTCTACTTTTTACTCTAACCAAGTACTCGCTTCTTCTTACCGTCTTCCTCTGCACGTACGAGTGTACGTGAAGTTACGAGGCACCGCCTTATTCTGTTATCAGAATAAGTAGCTTGTACTGTCACCAGTACAAGCTTCAGGGTGCCCCGTTACACCTGGTAGCACTTTGTAGTCCGTCCAAGGACCGCGTTCACATCCAACATGAATATGTTGGATGATGAAGATGACCAAAGCTTTCACGCTACGCGTGACGGCTACTCCCATTTGAGCGATGTCGAATGGGATGCGGTTGAACGAATGGGTTCGACCATGGGCATCCATGCTGTTAGCGTCATGCTAGAGGCTCTCAATAGAGATGCCCAACATGCTACTATCGCCAAGTTCATTCAAAATGAACTTGACGCAGAACGCGAGAAAGTAGCCTTGCTTCACCAACAAGGTTCTCAACAAGCAGAGTTGTTGAGAGAACAAGGTGCTCAACAGTTTGAACTGTTGAGACAGCAGCAGGCTGCTGCTGGCGGGTCGATGCACTCGCGTCGGCCCGAGACTTTGAAGATTGACATCTCAAAGTATAGGGGGTCGAAGAAGACTCCCTCTTGAGATGGTTCGTCGAATTGGATGACGCCATAAGGGCGCGTCGCATCGACGACGGGGATATGCAAGTTGCATTTGCCCAGTCAAATCTGGCAGGACGTGCCAAGACTTGGGCACTGGGGCTCAAGCTGCACGACCCATATGCGTTTGGGTCGTTGGAAGTCTTCAAGTCGCGGCTCAGACAAACGTTTGAACCGCCTAGAGCTGAGTTCAGAGCTCGAACCGAACTCTTGAAGCTCAAGCAGGGTAAGCGTGATGTGCACGCTTACGCTCAACATATACGACATCTCACGAGTTGTATAAGTTCCAATCCGGTGGATGAACACACGTTGGTTTCGGTGTTCATGCAGGGTCTTGCGGATGGTCCCGTCAAGACTCACCTGTTCCGGCTTGAACTAGATTCACTAGAACAAGCCATTTCAATTGCGGAGCAGGAAGACTTCAGTCTGAGACAGGCTCGCGCCAGCTCGACATCATATCGTCAACCGAGACGATATGACAACGGAGGTCCAGAGCCGATGGAACTCTGTTATGTAGAGAGCGAGAAGGCTCGCTCTACAGGCTACAAGAAGTTGCAGAGATGCAACAGATGTCAAAAGACAGGACACTACGCTTACGAGTGTAGTGCCCCTCGTCCAGTGTCTCGCGACACTGGGCGTAGTGACCGTCCACCCATGAGAAAGGGGCAGGGACGAGGGTCCGCAGTTGGTGCAAAGACGCAACAACGCGATGGACCGTCAAAAAAACGGACAGGATCAGTAGGTGCGGAGCACCCTACTGATCCAGCAACGTCAAGAGAATTTGTAGGCCTCTTGATGAAGGTTGCTCCCAACACACAGACGTTGTGCGTTGCTGCTCTAGGTAATGAGGTCTCACTCATTACCTTGAAACTCGAAGTGACGAATAAGTTGTCCCTTCGAGCTCTAGTCGATTGTGGGGCGTCCAACAATTTTGTGCGACGCCAATCGCTAGAAGATGGTCACTTTAAATTCAGTGAATGTGACACACCTCCTACGAGGATGACGGTACGTCTTGCGACAGGCGCATCCGTAACCGTCATGAAGCGTATATTGAAGATCCACTATACGCTAGAAGATACCCAATATGACGATGACTTTATCGTATTGGATTTGGATGACAAATTTGATGTCATCCTTGGAATACCGTGGCTCAGAAGGTACGAACCACGGGTAAACTGGCAACATCGGACAGTAACGATGCCTGCCACTTGTTCATCAGATGGCCACCTGATGAACGTTTTGGAGCGTCCACAAGCGTGTGGATGTACTACGAGTGAGTGCGATGGCCTCACTTGTGGTACGGTCGTTAGTACGACTGCAAAAAACCTTAGTGTACCAAACGGTTACACTTCGGAGCAAAGTTCCGGCGGCTGTGAGGAAACACAGGCTGCGCCGAAGGTCCACCCAACGAATAAGTCGATTGGACTGGGACAAAGATGTATCCCTGACGGGGAACATCTAGAAGAGAAACAATCGATCGCTCAGGTTAAGCGAAACGATAATCCTAGATCGACTGGAGAGTCTTTCGTAGAGGATCTCGCTGTGGTTGCGCAACCCCAGCTAGAGGAAGTAAAGGGAATAAGTCCCAAGATTACAAATACGGCGGAAATAAGTTCCCCGAAACCCGCGGGAATAAGTCCCCGGGAAGACGAAGGAATAAGTCCTTCGAAGCCTGAGGGAATAAGTCCCCAGGAAATGACAGAGACATTGAATGTCATAGTCAATAACGGATCATGTGTAGGCGCTTATACACTTGATCTGATTGCGCCTCCGAAGTTAACTTCGGAGATCACTCAGTTGCCAACGCTCGAACATAAAAGATTCTTGCGTGATCTGCGTAGTGGCAAAGTCAAGCAGATCTGCATACTCGTCGCTGAAGACGAGTATGTAACCGACATAAGGTCAGCAACAGTGTTTACTGAGAACGAGAGAGTTCTCAGTAGTTCATCTATGGACGAGAGTGTCCTAGATGAAAAGACACGAATTGAGCGATATGAGTCCCAATCATGGGAATCGCTCAAGGAAAATCCTCTCTATGAAGATTTGGTTGAATTCAAGGATGTATTCCCTAAAACGGTTCCGTGCGAATTACCGAAGGATAAAGGTATTCGACACGAAGTCGAGCTTAAACCAGGCTCGAAGTACTGTGTCATGAAGCAGTGGCCACTGCCTCGTGAACAAGTACTTGCGATCGACAAGTTCTTTGCCGATCGTTTAGCAGCGGGCCATGTGAGGGAATCAACTTCCCCACATAGCTCTCCGACCTTCTGTGTGCGAAAAGCAACAGGAGGGTGGCGGATAGTGCACGCGTTTAACAAATTGAACGCTGCAACGGTACCGGCTCAGACGCCGATACCGAGGAAGGACGTAATCATTGATGGTATGTCAAAGAGTACCATCTTTTCGTCCATGGATTTGATGGATGGCTTCTATCAAATCCTAATGCGGGAACGGGATATACCCTATACCGCAGTTAGCACGCCTAGCGGCATGCTCTGGGAATGGCTAGTAATGCCACAAGGGCTCAGTAATGCCCCTGCCACGTTCAACAGGTGTGTATCACATCTGTTGAGGCCAGTACGAGAATTCGCGCCGAGTTATTTCGATGACGTATTCATCCATAGTCGAGCTATGGATGGAAAGTCGGACGTTGAGGTTCACAAGTACCACGTCCGACAAGTTCTTACAATCATGCGAAAGCATCAATTGTATGCAAACCTCAAGAAGTGTATATTTGCAGCAAGCGAAATACCACTTCTTGGGTGCATCGTTGGTAAGAACGGTGTACGTCCTGATCCCGAAAAGATCAAGGCGATCACCGACTGGCCCGTGCCGGTCGATGTCAAAGGTCTTCGAAAATTCCTTGGGCTAGCGGCGTATTTGCATAAGTATTCACGCAATTACGCCGAGATGACTGTACACCTCTCTCGTTTGTTGAAAAAGAACGAGAGGTGGTTATGGAACGCTGAATGTCAACGCTCCTTTGAGGGTATCAAGCAGAGCTTGATACAATCCCCAGTCCTAGCAATAGCCGATCAGGACAGGCCATTTCATGTGGTCTGTGATGCCAGCGATTTCGCAATCGGCTGTGCATTAATGCAGTACGATCTTGAAGGCGTTGAACGCGTCGTCTGCTATCAGTCGCGTCAGCTGCAACCAGCTGAGCGGAACTATCCAGTGCATGACAAGGAACTCCTTGCCATGAAGTATGCACTCGCGAAGTTCAGAGTCTATCTATTAGGAGATAGACCCTTCGTTGTTTACACTGACCATGCGTCCTTACGCACGGCAGTGAACAGCCCGCACCTTTCACAACGAATGGCGCGGTGGTTGTCATTCTTTGCAGAATACAACTTTACGGTCGAGTACAAACCAGGACGACTTAATGTCGTCGCTGATGCACTCTCACGTCGTCCCGACTTTGAAACAGTCGCGAAACCCAACAGTGAGACAGTCACTGTTGCGGTTATGACGTCCTCAGTTCCATCTACAACGTTGTATGATGATGTGAGGCGGGCATACGCCCAAGATGGTGAGATAGTGAAGTTGTTGTCACATCTCTCCCAACCATCTCGAGAATCGTTGAAACGATTGTCGTCTGCGTATCGATCTGCATCAGATCGATACACTACTCGTAACGGTTTACTGTACTATACAGCCGTTTCTGGTGACACACCACGTGTTGTCATTCCAGATGATACTGATCTGCGTTTGCGGATCATGTTCGAGTATCACGATGCTCCTATAGGAGGACATCGTGGCCGGGAGAAAACATATCTCACGGTAAGTCGAGACTTTTACTGGCCCCGCCAGTATCAGTTTGTGCGAAAGTATGTTCGCGCATGCGAAGTCTGCCAACGAGTGAAGTCAAGTCCTTCACTACGTGCACCTTTACAGCCTCTACCGGTTCCGGCTGAGTGCTGGGAATCCATCTCAATGGATTTCGTCTTCGGGTTACCCAAAGACGCACGCGGGAATACGGGTATTCTCGTATTTGTTGACAGATTCAGCAAAATGGTACACCTTGTGGCTGTACCAGAGACAATCACGG